TTTTTCGGCCCCGGCGGCGTGAAGCGCCGCCACAATGGTATCTGCTTTAGTAGAGGCTGGGATCCTGCTCTAACAAGGATACTCAGACCCAAAAAGACATGTTGATTTACCTTGGTCCGCGTACCCCCCCAAGCCCACCTGAAACTTCTTAATTGCATCCATTCATGACATGGCACGTCGGGCCTAGTTTCGACTTCTAGGCCTACAGTTGCTGCGGTGACTGGTCTTCTGCCACAGTGTAACTTCGGTGGACATCCTCTTCGCAGCGGCGCGGTCCGCTCTGCTTTGGAGGCGCCGACCTATCCTCATGCCATGACACCGCGCCTTGATCGATGGCAGATATAACATGGGTTTATGGAACGAGCTGGTAGATGTTCCGAAGCGTGTAGCAAAACGCGGGGACAAAGATGTGAGTACTAGGACCGGGGGCACTGTGTAGACCAAATGCCCCCGGAGCTCCCCCAAACAGCTATGAGGTCAAAGTAAACGCACAGAACATTTCCTTGCGATTTCTCCTTTGAAATTAGCTTCTTAAATAGAAGATCCTCTGTGAATACGCAGAACTGCGTCCGCCCTGATTAAGTGGGTTTGACAAATCGGTACGCAAGACGCATTGTCCCGATGGGTAGCACAGAATTCTCATTTCAGTCTAAATTGGTAAAAATCCATCCACACTCCTTAAAAATCACCATCGACATGGAGTTCGTTAAAGCAAGAGAGTTTCGCATGCGAGAGAAAACAAGAAAGAGCAGAAATATGAGACTCCAGAGTGGACAGCAAGCTACGCCCTCATGCGCCGTACTACAAGTACATCAAAAATTACGTCAGACACGACTGAAAAGCCCTTCGACAAGTTGCAGCTTACAGTAAGGGTGAGCCCCGTAGCCCAAGACTGGGCTGATGACCGATTTCGGGATCAAGGTAGGACCATCGATCAGCCGCCTCCGTCGGATCGCCGGGAGTAAGCTTGTACTCGTTCACAGTCTCATACCAATCAGTATCGACGAGCTCGCCGTCCTCATCGACTTTCTGGTAACGAACAAGTTTTTGATTTTTGATCGAAACCTTGTCGTCGACAGTGATAACAGGCTCACGGTATCTACAGAAAAATCGGCAACCACTTAGCACCTCGTAGTACAAGTGCACAACAGGAGATCAACTCACCGTCGAAGAGTACCGGCCACGCCCTTCGTACGTGAAATGTTAGGCTTAGAGAACACAGCGCGAAGAACCTCCGCAGCCACGCGGGTGACAAACGCTGGACCCAAGCTCTTGAAAACCGTATCACCATGATAGTGAGCATAATCCGAAAGAGGACGTTGAGGCTCGACGTCCTCAGGGCTGATGTTCTCAGGGTTGCTAAACGCCGATTCGTCTTTTCCGACCTTGCCGAAGTCGAAGTACAGCCTGTCCCCGCCTTGCTGGCGAGAGGGCCAACAGGAATGTCCTTTGTAACGACGCGATAGACACCTTCGATGACGGGATCCAAACCTTTCAGCGGAAAGCGATAATCAGTGAGTTCTCCATATTCTGCGGTTTCAACACGAAGTCAACCTACGGAGAGCTTCACGAACGTAACCCTCAAGAGTAGCGAGTACCAAAGGATCAGATCCCTTGCTAGCAAGGAGGACAATCTTTTCATAAAGATCTTGCTTCGAAGCATAATCGGCGGCATTCTTGTCCACAGGAGGGAGGTAGAAGTTAATGACATGCGTGAAGACTAAGCACCCACAAACAAGAGTAAATTGAGGGACCAATGGCCAATAGAACGACAATGACAACACTCACTCTGCGAGAGTTCGATAGATGCGGAGGAGATGACGCCAATGATATCGTTGGCAACCTCATCAAGAGGAGCACCCAAACCAAGAAGACGTTTGAGAACACGATTAGTAAATTGAGGTACATCGCCAAGGAACCACCCGGCAAGACCGTTGATAAGAGAGACAGGAAGCTGTTGATCCCAGAATCAGTGGACCTCGCTTCGTTTCCGTTCCATGAATCATGAAGGAAAAACACTCACACTGCCCTTGGCCTCCACCAAGCTAAGCTTAACGAATCGGCGGAGACGAACTACATTGGCCCTCGCCTCCCTCTGAGCCGGAATCTCCAAAGTGGCATCACCCTCGATGAAAATATACGAATGGATCTCCTTGAGCATCTGATAGATCTGTTGCTCGTAGTAGAGTCCGTGCGGCTGGAAGGCCGTCTTCACAGGTAGCCCAGCCTGCATTTTCCCCGCAAGGAGAAATAGAAAGAAAGGGAGAAGAATTCAGAACAACTCTGCCTTTCCCCAAGTTCTCCAGAATAAGAAGAAAAAAAAAGGGGGACTCACAACCGAAGCGAGACCCAATGAACCGGGACAAGCCTCAACACCTCCTTCACGATATCCACATACTTCGGTCCACCCTTCTCCAACACAGTATACGACTTCTGTCCGATCAACTCGATCGTCTTATTATAGAACCACTTGCCATTATCCGCCAACTCCCTATCAGGAACGAAAACTTCTTGCACCAATTTCGTCACCTTCTCCCATGACCTTGGATCATCGATCACCGTCAAATAACTGGGGCTGAGCCCAACGTTCTTGATACGTTGGCCGTAGAGTGTGATAAGACCCTCTGTTACATGGTCTGCGTCCCCAAGTCCATCATAGATGGCATTCGGATCCGAAATAAGGTGCGTCTCTCCAATGGGCGGGGGCGGAGTGAAGGTATATTCCTTCGCTTGCCCAAGTTTAGCTAGAATCTTATCCATAGAGAAACGATGCCCGGTTGGGCGGATAAGTGGGAAGTGAGTGTAAACGGAAGTGGAGTTGAAATGACGAGGTAGAGTTCGAGCAAAAAGTTTGCCAAGAACACCACCCCATGAAGCATTCTTCACGTTACGGGTACCGTCGAAGAAGCCCCAAGTTGTAAGGTTAAAGGGAGTGAAATCGTACGTGAGGTATCGATCTCCCCGAACGAGGGCAACAGCATCGGCGAGGATAGCACGAGACATGGTATCTATCCATCGATGGAAGAAAAAAAAGGAAAAAAAAGGCGAATATCAACCAGAGGCCAAAAGAAAAGAAAAACTGGGATCTCTCACTCACAAGAAGGACATAATCCAGCTCCGTCCATGACCTTCTTGCTCTCCTCCGATACCAACCCCACATACAACTCCAAGTTATCCGTCGTCCTATACAACTTCTTAGCAGCATCTGCGACGCTCTTATCAGGGTTCCACTCTTCGAACGTCGCATAAGGCTTCAACCCCAAAAATTTCCTAAACTCATTCAACGAGCATGATCCCCAGTTCCTGGCCTGCTCGATACCCAATATTTCGATCACCCTCATCACTCCAGGTACACCTCGAGCTTGGAATGCGTGCGCAGGAACGGACGTCGCACTAACGAGAGCCCTAGCAAGAAGTTCATCTTTATATTTCTTGGTGTCGGGGTCTCGAGGGTTAACGTCCCATTTACCATCCGCATCCTTGAACCCACGGAAGGTAAACAGATCAAGAAGGTAATCAACCGGTTTTCCATCGTTAATGACGTCGTTGAGTTGGGGCTCCGTTAGGCTGTCGAGTGCAGGCGGGGTAGCCTTCGCATCACTGCCATCCTCCTTCTTGAAGCTCTTGTACAACACCTGAAGTTGCAGCGCTCCAAGAGTTTGTTCGAAAATGTCGGGAGTAAGCTGCAAAAACCCCCGCCAAAGAAAGCCAGAGATCAGCCGCATGCACTTCCACAACCAGAGGCAAACCCCCCCCCCCCCCCCAAAAAAAAGAAAGAAACACACCTCATCCCAGTTAGGAGGCGTCTTACCGCCGTAGAACAACCAAGAAAATCGTTCCCCCGCGTAGTCCGCATCCTCCTTGCTCATACTAGGATGCAACCTATAAAGGACGTTAAACTCAACCGAACAACTATTCCCCTGACCCCTCTCCAACAGCCGATGATCACTCTCCCGCCTCTCCCCCTGAATGTTCAACGTCCAGCTCGATCCATCCCTCACAGTTCCCAAAATAGCCGAAAGGTAATCACCCAACACCACGCTCGCATACGTCGCAGAGTTGATCAACCTCGCCGTGTTGAAAATTTCGTGGTCCTGCTTCTCAAGCTTCTTCCGCTTGGCCGATTTCCTTGGAGCTGCCGCTTGCGTCGCTGGATCTTTGATCACTTCAGGTGTACCGCTGTAAGGTGGTTCGGGTTCTTGAATTTTACTGAGGTCCTGCTCCACGTTCCACGTTCGTTGATACGCAAAAGCAAGTCTGCAATGTACTGAGAAAGTGTGTGTGTTTTTTTTTTAAAAAAAAAACAAAGGTCGAAGAGAAACCCACGGTAAGCTACTTCGGAGGAAAACAAAAAAAGGATTACTCACATTATGGTTCCGGTTAAAAACGATCAACAGAGCCACCACAGCAGGTGGCAAATTCAACAACCTCGTTTCCGCGAACACATCAGGAAGGATCTTCCCCCTCCCATCAACATATCGAATCTTATCCTGATGAGCCTGAGTATTTCCGTAGAGCATCCCCAAATCGACGTAGGAAGACGTTTCGTTGATGTTCCAATCGATACGGGAAGTACGGAATACGCTGTGAATGACGCTAGTCTAATCAAGATTGATAAGTTCAAGATTGGATTCCAAGATCCACAGAAAAAGAAAAAAAGGAAAGTTTCTCCCTCTTCAACTCACCGCATAATTGAAGAACAATCCGCTCAGTCCAGCAGGATGTTCCTTAAACTTGGTCTCATTCCTCTTAATCAACGCGTCGTACACTAATCCAGCCTCAGGCAAATCAGCCACGGGAAGCGGCCTCAACCCGGTGCAACTCCTGGAATAAGGTGTGCCCGCCTTTCCTATATCAGGATTCAACGGAGAGTTCCCACTTCCATCCGCAGACCTGAATTGGTAATCTTGGCCCATTTGGGTGGAAGGTGGGTGGGGGAGGTCATAATAAAGAGTTCGGATAGCACCATGTTCGATGGGAGTTGTTATTGCAGGGTCAGCGCGAGAGAGGAAGGTCAGGAGATATTCAAGCTGAGTTTGTTTTTGACGATGGAAGTGGAGAGATGTTTGAAGCGGAAAAGGCAAGAGGAAAGGTTATTCCGAGTAGTTGGAAGACAAATAAATAAACCAATCACTTACAGCTAACTTCCTGTCATCGAGACCCTCGGTGAGACCAGCTTTCGTTCCTGCAATGTCAACCAGCGCTTCCTACCAAGCCCAAACGACATAACGCCATCAATATGAATTCCACAAGCAACAACATCGAGAAGCAATACTCACAGTAGCTTTAATAGGATTAGCAGTGACAGGCAATCCCCTCTTTACCTGAGCCCTGAGACCTTCAATCCCGGTTGCGACCAAACCTTCGGGTTTACTCTCATCATAGTCCTCTGTGACATCAGGCAATGGTGCGAAGGATCGATGGATAGCCTCTACGCCCAGTGCAGCGTTCTCAAGAGCTCCATCGACTGCTCTAAGGCCCCTGTAGACAACTCGAGCGCCAAGAACCGTTGGGGACGGTAGGCCAGACATGTCTTTCGTTCGATTTTTCTTCTTCCACTGGTTGAAGTATGTTCGTGACTGAAGAACAAAGAGAAGGGAGGGAGTAACGATAATGATTAGGGATGAAGTGCTTTATTATAAGCAAATAAAAGGACATGCATCTCCCCAACAAAATGCAACTGAATGATGAATATGTGAAGAGAGCAAGGGAAGGCATATACAATTGAACCCTGGAAAATATGACCTGAAAGGGGAAGAGGACGGCTGCGGCACGGTTAAGGATGCTCATCTCCGCTGGATGTCAAAATGTTGATTGGAGCTAAATGCCCTCTTATTCCTAGACGGTATATAGTCCTTGGGTGTAGATTTTCGAATGCGACCATCCAAACGTATAAGCCGATGGCATAGTGCGCAAGTGGGTCAGTGATGGAACGGGGAATGGCCACTTATATAATCGCTCCTTCTCCACAAGTATATTGCCACACAAATTGTTTTTACCAATACCCTAAAGCGGGAATTCAAAGCCAGATATTCATATTTGAAATTCAGGTTTTTTGAAATTCCGGTTCCGACAACGAGCCAATAGATTCGGGCAATTCCGCTACGAAGGCCACCACAAGGCACGAACACAATGAAGACAAATATCTTTATGATTCAATTGGTCACCTGGGCGTGCTTTTTGGCAATCGAGAGTCCCAAGTTCTAGCCTCTGCTCACAACTCTTGGCAAAGGAGAGAATCGGGCTGGAACCGAGCTCGTTGACGAGCTGGCGCTTACGCGCACTCGCATGCAATCGCGTCACTCGCCGAATTATTTAACTCCTGACCCAGCATGACCGCACCGCTAGCAACACGCACCTTCTCGCAGATCTGACCCAAAAGCGATAGCTTTCACGGACCCAATTTTCCGCGTTGATTACGTATTTCCCACATCGTATTCGATTCTCCCATGTTCACCTGAGAACTCCCTCGTCGCCTGAGAAAAAAATACCTGCAACTATACATATCATACTGCATCTTGTCTGCATCGCATGATGATGGTCCAAGCGCGTGCGATCCTCAGTTGAGAGGGTGACCCATCTGTGCATGCACGACGACCCGGCCACATATTTACATACTGCACACAATCCAGATAAGCGAAACCCAAAAGAGCGCGTATACAAGGATCCTAATTAACCAATCTCCCAATCTCGCGAGGCATGCATTCGCTTTGTTCGTCAGCTAGTTCGGTCGGTCTGCGGCCACGGCAAAACCAAGTCCAGTCCAGGCACAACATACATACTTATACTAGAATCCATCTGGCAGATCTTGATTCTCTTGCATGCTTCCCACTTCGACTTGAACGATTCGTTTCTGTCCAGTTATTACTATCAGCATCTTCCGTCCATTGTGGTCGAATTACATAACGCCGCCATGCAAATGCACACACTGGTCTCCGGACGCCGCCAATGACCACGTAACATTGTACATCTGATCTTACGGTAGTAAATATTGGCAGTCAGTTTTAAATAATAAATTGTTCCGCGGACACATGTGTCAATAGTCAAAGGGAAGATACCACCTCGGAGTACCGTTTGGACGTCAGGCCGGAGACCCTTCGGTGGGAGACATCGGATTCCTAACGGTATGTGCCACATCGGCCAGCAGTTAACCCGTTGCACTGGAGAAATACGGATCCCGCTTATCCGCTGTGCGTTATAATCACCCACCGCCGACCCACACCCCAAGCAATGCAATGCCATTCGAAGGGTAGGGGGCGCATGGCACTTCCTTCCTTCAACTTAGGACCCCTCCGGCCATTTTGAAAAAAAAAAAATTCGACCAATCTGATTTTGGCGGGGGGGGGGGGACCGAGGTGGAGCTGTCTCTTTATCAAGATCGATGGATTTGACGGCAAACCCAGTATATCCATAAGCAACCCGGACTTCATTACGCCCGCGATGGCGATTCATTTGTCTTGTCCAGCCAGCAACATGGCTGGGAAAACATCTTGAGTCGCCGCATAAGGATAAACACATCTTGGTCTCTGCGTGCATACGTCCTCGAGAGGGAGCGCAAATATAAGTCTGCTGACTCGTTTAATTGACGGCGAATCCAGTATATCCATAAGCACCCGGACTTCATTACGCCCGCGGTGGCGATTCATTTGTCTTGTCCAGCCAGCAATATGGCCGGGAAAACATTTTGAGTCGCCGCAAAAGGATAATAATAATTCTCTGTATCAACCGATCATACTTGTTCTCACATGAACAGCACCTTCCATCGATCACAAAAACCCCGATGCTCTGAATTGGAGTGATGAATGGAATGCGCGCAGTTCTCGATCGACCTGGACAACCAGACTTGGTCATACTATGTACTTAAAAAAGTGCTGAAGCGTTATGTATATATTTAAATTTCTTCCCCAACCTTATGTGGGGAAGGCGTTCTAGTCCATCAAGCATCAAGCAATGGCGCCGCGACCATACCGAGAGCAAATACCGCGCGAAAGCTCGGCCAATGGGTTTTCCTCTGAACCACGCTACCGATCGCGAGCGACAGGGCGACTCCTGAGACCAGCTGTACTGTGTCCCCCATGATGAATCATCAAGCACACGGATGGTTCAGGCATTCAGGCTCCAATGTGGTGGTAAGAGACACTCAACCGTGGGTCGTCGATTCCAAAAAGGATTGGAGTCATAGTACTATGGATCTGCCAAACCTTAGGGTTCGTTGCGATCGACCCCATGTTGAGAACCTCGACCTGATCTCCATCAATGAGATGGGAAAAAGGCTCAGAGGCGAAAACAACACAAGGAGTGATTACTTGTCCCACACCTTTCCTGGAAGCTATACTACAAACAGAAGAGAAATGGGCTAGAACATCGAAAAAAACACGTCACAATGTGGGAAATCCACATCGACCACTCATCCAGAGTCTTTAGAAAGAGCCACTGCAACAACAATGAACTGCAAACACTTGTTCAGAGGATAGGCAATGTTTCGGTCACATCGCTTTCTGACGTCAAGTTGTTGCGACATGGCAGTGAGCTGGACGGTAGGATAGAGTGTACGATCTATTTCCTTCCATCGTTCCGTGTGTCCTCAAGCTGTTTTTGTCCAAATGAGGAAATTCCCATTTCCTAAGCCCTCTCGTCCACAATATTATCACACCACGCATGCAAGAGACTGCGGTTATAACAAAACCAATTATGCCACGATCTATCTTGGCAATCGTCGGTATAGCCACAGTCTCGCCACGGCAGTACGATATTCCAAGCCAATGAAAACCTGCAACTTACCCGCTGCCCACCCAGATCGGAACCGATCGGCTGGTAGATCTGTAATCTCTTACCCCCCTGTTTAGTGCTTCGAGCAAAAAAAAATCATAGAGCTCGCAGCGTTATGCTACGTTAAAATCCGGGAGATCAACACTCTGGATTGAAAGAGCGACCCCGAAATATGTAGTCCCGGGCGCTTCACGGAAACACTTCGATGGAGCACTGCGTACAGCTCGACTCCAGCGTGATCCAATCAATCCTCCAGCTTGGATCGAGTTCAACCATAGCAGCCACTCAAGAGCCACGGTAACGTCCAAGGAGGGAATTGAGTGGATCAGTTCAGAGCCGAAAACCAAACGGGCCAGACTCGAAAGTGTGATGAGAGTTTAGTGGATCCAATCACCCCAGGGCCCCAGAGGCGTCAGTTCATGTCGCTGAATGATATGTCAGGGGACGGTGATTTGGACACGACACCCCTGTTTCGCAATGCCCGCCTACTTACCAGTGGAGCAGCTCCGGCTGCCAAACTCCTTGGTACACCGTACAAGCAATGCGCAAGAAAAAAAAGTGGCCGACGAGCGTACAACGGTTCGTTTATCATGCGGTTGGACAAGAACAAGAGGAACCAAAAGGCTCCTTGAGGGTGGGAAAAGTAACACAGCATGAGGTGATCACATCATGTGCACGCAGGGGTGGTTAATCAAGAAATAGGTATTATTGATACATATGTATTGAGAATATTCCGATACAAGGAGTTTCTTTGAGTCATCTCAGACGAGGCTGAGAAGGGGCAGGCAAGATCATTGAAACTGATGAGCATTGCACATGGTTCAGAAGAAATGTTTCGGGTTGCAGAGGGAAAAATGATTACATACGCTAAGAGTGAGGCCAGTAGCCCAGGTGCTTGGCCTATGTCCTATGTCGGAGTCCAGATACGACCACCGATCGGCAGCTTCTTCTGGATCACCAGGCGTGAGTGTGTACTTGAAGACGGTTTCCTTCCAAGGAGTGTCAACGATATTTCCATCCTCGTCGACGGACTTGAAGTCCACTTCGACAGGTGTGGCTTGAACGGTATCGTCGACGCGGATGACAGGTTCACGGTATCTGAAAACGTAAAACAGTGTATTTGTACCTGAACACTCTATCGTTGAAATCAACCCAAGGATGCTTTACCGTCGTAGAGTTCCAGCAACCCCCTTCGTACGTTGTACGTTACGCTGGGTGAAAACAGCACGAAGAACCTGAGCAGTAACACAGGTAACGAAGGCATCGCCCAGAGTCTTGAATACCGTATCACCACGATAGGTAGAATAAGCGGAAGCGGGACGGGTAGGATCTATAATCTCAGGGGAATCGAACGCTTGATCGTCCCTTCCGACTCTGGCTAAGTCAAAGTAGAGTCTATCACCAGCTTTGGAGGTAAGATAGCCGACGGGGATATCTTTAGTTACGATACGGTAGACACCTTCAACCACAGGATCCAAGCCTAGGAATGAGAAATGAATAGTTGAACGCGGGTGAGGTGTTCGCTCTGGGAAAATGTACGAAGAGCTTCGCGAACGTAACCCTCAAGAGTGGCATTGGTACTGGAATCAGACCCCTTGCTTGCGATAGCAATAATTTTGTCGTAAAGAGCCTTCTTCTCAGCGTTATCATCGGCACTCTTGTCCTGGGGGGGAAGATAAAAGTTGATAACGTGGGTGAAGACTAATCGTCGGCCGATCAGTATCCGCCAGGTTGTTCCAGAAGGGGAAGACTCACTTTGATGGAAGCAGTAGAGATGACGCTAATTACATCGTTAGCGGCCTCATCTTCAGGAGTGCTGAGGTCAAGAAGACGTTGAAGGACACGATGATGTTGATGGGTTCCTCCCAGCAACAGGTGGGCAAGGCCACCAAGAACCGTAGCCGAAATCTAGTATCAAACACCCAAAGCGTTTTTAACACCTGCACGATCATCAAACACAATAATGCTCACACCGCCCTTGGCCTCCCTAAGACTGATTTTCACAAACAGACGAAGACGGTCAACATTGTTTCTCGCCTGTCTCCGATCAGGAATTTGCATAGTTGGAGAACCCTCAACGAAGATATACGTATGAATCTCCCTGAGTATTTGATACAACTGTTGCTCGCAGAGGAAACCGCGGGGTTCGAACTTGGACTTGACAGGAAGACCAGCCTAAGGAAAAAAAAAATTCGGAGCCCCATTGAGTATCATTCCTAAACATCGCCAAAACCAGACACTCACAATCTGATACGAAGCCCAATGAACCGGAACAAGTCTCAACACATCCTTCACAATGTCCACAAGCGTCGGTCCCTTCTCGTAAACGACATATTTCTTCTGCCCAATCAATTCGATCGTCTTATCGTAGAACCACTTCCCGTGATCGTCCAGCTCGGCCGAGGGGACGAAAATATCCTGAACAAGTTTCGTTGCGCGCGAAAACACAAGAGGATTATCGATGGCACTGAGGTAGCCTGGGATAAGTTCCACGTCCTTGATCTTTTGACTGTAAAGAGTGATGAGGCCGTGTGAATTATTCAGGTCACCTATTCTGTTGTAAATGCCGTTGGAGTCCGCGATAAGAATGGTTTCGCTTTGAGGCATGAAAGTATACCCTTTCGCCTGACCGAGCTTCGTGAGGACCCTGTCCATGGCGCACGGGTGTCCCGTAGGCAGGATAAGGGGGGAGTGAGTGTAGACAGATGTCCCATCGAAGTGGCGAGGGAGTGCGCGAGTGAAGAGTTTGCCAAGTATACCCACCCCAAGAAGCGTTGTGGACGTTACGGGTACTATCAATGAAACCCCATGTTGTAAGGTTGAGGGGTGTGTAATCGTAAGTGAAATAGCGATCTCCACGAATGAGAGCGACAGCATCGGCTAGAATAGCACGAGACATGGTGTCTACCATCAAAGTCAAGTCAAAATTTAGCTAACTTCATTCGGTAAGAAATTCCTCTCACAAGAAGGACACAATCCAGCACCATCCATGACTTGCTTACTCCGCCACCAAACCGACATACAGTTCCAAATTCTCCGTATTCCTATAAAGCTTCCTGGCAGCATCAGCAACGCTCTTATCAGAGTTCCATTCCTCAAACGTAGCATAAGGCTTCAACCCCAGAAATCTCCTAAACTCATTCAACGAACAACAGCCCCAGTTCCTAGACTGTTAAATTCCCAAAATTTCAATAACCCTCATCACACCGGGAACACCCCTAGCCTGGAATGCATGTGCAGGAACACTTGTGACGTTAACGAGAGCTTTGGCAAGAAGTATATCTGGGTATTTGAACGTCTTTGGGTCACGGGGATTAGCAATCGGTCTACCGGATTCGTCGGTGAATCCACGGTAGTCGTACTCGGGAAGAAGGTAATCAAGTGGTTTCCCGTCATCGATGAGGTCTTTCGCCTGAGGCTCGGAGAGATCCTCAAGTCTGAGAAGTTGGACCTTGTTACCGTTTCGGTCTTTGACGCGACCGTACTAGTAGGTTGCTCGAAGTTGTTGCTGGCCAACAACAACCTCGAAGTCCTTTGGAATGATCTACGCAAAACAGGGTTAGTGTGAGTTTGGGTAGAAAACGAAAAACACTCACCGTGTTAAAGTCAACTTCTGGACCAAACAAGTGATGAAAAGCCCGCTCGGTATATTCCGCATCCTCCTTACTCATACTAGGATGTAGCCTATAAAGTCCAACCGAACAACTGTTCCCAGTCCCCCTCTCCAATAATCGATGGTCCACTTCTCTCCTCTCACCAGCAATGTTCAGCGTCCAACTCGAACCATCTCGAACTGTGCCAAGGATAGCAGCGAGGTAGTCTCCCAAGACGACGTTAGCGTAGGCGGAAGAGTTAATAAGACGCGCAGTGTTAAAGATCTCGTGATCTTGTTGTTTGAGTTTTTGGGGCGTGGGGGCGAGTTTGGAAATATCTTGTTCCCAGGTGCCTCGTTCGTTAATGCGTAACAGAAGGTCGGCTATGTACTGGCGAGGCATGTAAAAGGACGGAGCATTGCGGGGGGGGGAACTTACGTTATGATTCCTGTTAAAAACAATCAATAAAGCCGTAACCGCAGGAGGCAAATTCAACAGCCTTGTTTCAGCATAAACATCAGGAAGGATTCTTCCCCTTCCGTCAACATAACGAATCTTGTCCTGATGAGCTTGAGTGTTTCCATAAACGAACCTGGGCCCGAAAGGCCTCAATCCCGTTCGAGATCCGGGAGTGAAGTTTATTGTCATCAAAATCCTCCGTCACGTCGGGAACGTGGGAGCTTCATGATGTGTGGACGCTTTCCGCAGCTAGGGAGAACTTTTCAAGGCCAGAGTCTGTGGCTTTGAGAGTCACGGAGAGGACGTTGGCTGCCACCTGTCGAGGGGTTGGAAGGCCAGACATTTCGCGCCCCGTGGTCCGTATGGAAGGTAAAGAAAGAGCCTCAAGCGAAGGGAGAGTATTGGCTGAGAAGGGAAGTGGGAGAGGTTGAACGGGTTACCGTGCCCGACTTGAGAAGCACGACGACTGGAGACACCAAATTGTGGTATAAGGTAAAAACAAAGATAAGACCCTTCTGATAGGGACATTTCGACTTGAAGTCCCCTAAATATTTTGAATAATTATTGAGCTTTCAGTTTCTGTCTGACGGGTCGTGGCCTTAATACCAACCACCCCTTTAGAGAAACACGCGCGAGGTTACCCCGCTGCCTGTGCAAAGTGGCCATGGAAAGTTGACGAGGGGGCCGGCTTGTCAGCGCCTCGCCAGATGTAGGCATGCTCGAAGGGTTTTCAAACGGAGTTCTGATATCGACAGCATTTAGCGCGTGTGCGCGCCGCATACGCCGCATCACGCACTTGGTCGGCGGAAAGGGTGAGAGTGGCTGTGTTGCACCAATTCCCACGAGAAGCCAATGTTCGACCTCAGGTTCAAGTGCCCTGTGTTTTGGGCCAGCACAGTGCCCAATAGTAGCTATGACGCGATACTATATACTGGAAGTTCATGTCATTATTTCCGATGCGGTATGGACCGACCTTCACAGTTGCTTTGTCTCGCGCCACAAGAATGTTGCTCAGGCCCAGCTCGAATTAAACGTCTCAATACTGTGCAGCCCATTTAATGTCCTGTACATGTTAGGGCCAAAAGTGAAGCGAATAACCGGTATCCATGCTGTACTGAGCCTTGTATTCAGAGTGCATTTCCGCGTGACTCTATGAAGGAGGCTACCATCCTGGGAGATAAGAGTGGTTCATACGCTGTCCTGCACAATGGGCCGGACATCCGATCAACGCAAGAACTATAGACAAGGACATATTGGTCAAGAACAGGGTGGGGCCTGACCGAGACGTTTTCACGCTTGACTTTATCTGGAGTCGGAACGGTAATATCGGAATGCGCGTAATCAGATGAGTCAGCTGCACGGGAGGCGTTCCAGGACTGTAGACCCGTGGCTTAAATGCATAGGGCCAGATCATGAGTCTGGTGTTCTCCTTGTGCTACTGTAATAGCTCGGCCGGGAGGGCTGAACCGTCTAAAGTTCGAGCCCTTTCTTCTCTCGACAGTCATGTCGCACTCCATCCTCTATCCTCTCCCGTATACGACGTCAGAGCCACTTGCGCAACTTTTTTTTGCCCGATCCAGACAGCTTGGGTCGGCGAATGAAGGATTTTTGCAACAGTGTCATATTATTGTTGGCCGCTCGGATAATGTTGCGGTTCGTCCCATGTGTAATTGGACGCGCGCGAGCCTACTTATCTCTTTTCTAGTGGAAGTTGCTCAACGAGATACGATGGGTCCCAGAAGGTGCCGAGGCATCCCCTGAGCATGAATCTCGAAACGGGTTGGCAGTGTGCGCGAACCATCATCTGGCATTCGATAGGTGGCAATTCTTCATTCGCGAAGTGAGTCCCACCTTCGTACTACCTATTAATGACAACCAGATCCAAAAGTATGTCTTCATCCATTACGATAACACTGGAGAGTCTGGAGAGCAGGCACCCAAGGCCGTTGCCCTTGACCCCAAGGATAAGCACTCACCACTCCCTCTCCTACTTCTTGCCCACGAATATATGGTCCGCGGAAGAAATTTCTACCAACCCAAGCGAATGTTGGACCCAACTAATGCTTGGCAGGATTGGATCGTCAGAGACAGCGTGGTGAACGAGGGAGATGGCGCTTTCAAGCGCTCGCGCTAACTAATTTGTTTACATTAATAATTTATTGTTTAATCGTGTGGCTGTTTATGTAGATGACCGTAGGCGAATAGACGAATAAACAAAATCATGTGCTTTGAATAAACTTGAAAACTTTGAGCGAATTGGCGTTGGTCAGCATGCTAGGTTACGTGTTGGTCTTCTCAGTCTCAGATAGTTGCAAGCGCCGCTTTTCTTCTCTTGATCGCGATGTCGTGCCTAAACCTATATGCTCTCCCCTATACTGCACCAGAGCCACCTGCAGAACTTTTCCGCCACGTTGAGAGAGAGTCTGGACATTCTGACACGGCAGCGTTCAAGGAGGGTCTAGACAACCGCGATGTGTTCTTTGCAAAGCGCAAGTGTGTGATTTGTGGGTCCAGGAATCGGATACTTTTAGAACGTTGTCATATCGTTGCTCGCTCGGACTGTCATGTGGTTCGTCCCATATGGACTCGCATGCAAGCAGAGTCACTTACCTTCTTTCTAGTGGACGTTCCTCAGGAACATAGGATGGATTCCAGAGGGTGCTAGGGAAGCGCCTGGGCATGAGCCCCGCAATGGGTTGACGATGTGCCCAAACCATAATCGGTCATTCGAACGTTGGCAGTTTTTCATTCGCTTTCGACCAGGTGTAAATCTCGGGTTCTTTGCCCTCGTGCTACCTATTAACTGGCAGCTAGATCCAAAAATATATCTTTATCCACTACGATAGCTACGCTGAGTCTCTAGAGCTGGCACAGTTCCACGGCAAGGCCATTGCCCTTGATCCCAAAGACAAGCACTCGCCACTCCCTCTTCTATTCCTTGCCCACGAATATATGGTCCGCGGGAGAAATTTCCACCAACCATCGCCCATCCCGGAGCCAACTAATACTTGGCAGGATTGGATGGTCAATGACGATGTGGTAAACGAGGGAGACGAAGGTTCATTCACTTTCAACCGCTCGGGCCCCCCAAGGCGCAATTCTCCTACCTACCAGTCTGCGAACCTGCAAGGGTTCGACACCGATGCCTCACCTTCTGGTTCTCAAAATGGAATCATGCCACCTACCGCTGACCTTGTCGCGGAATTGATGGCGTATCAACTTACCATGCCCAGTTGGAAGGCGTGGCAGACGGAGAGCATGAGCTGGGAAGGGACGGCGGAAGAAAACATAAAACAATATGTCGAGAAGGTGGGCGTCGAAGAACCTGAAGGATGAATGGTTAAACCCAGACTCGTACCCTGGACGCGCAAAATAATAATAGCTTTTGCATGCAATCTAAATAAACGTTCTCACGTTCTGGTGCTATTCACGTTCTGTACTCAATACAAAAGATCACATGCTACGGAGTTAAATGTTTTGGAGTCGGACGCCACCCAGCAAGTTTCGCTTATGTAAGCGACACCCGCCCGGACTTTTTGGCCAGCCGATGGAGTCTTCAGGCGACAACTCTTGGGCCACTGATGGTTCAGCTCTTCGTGGTCCGTGCCCTTCAATATCGTGTGCAGTAGTGGGTCCTCTGTCATTATCGCTTCGGATTGCTGGGTGTGATGGTTCAAACCTCCACGGTGAGGTGATGGCTCTTATTATGGCTGTTGTCTTGTCACATCCCACTCCCACTGCTGTTACGGTTTTCTCCGATCATCTGCACTCAATCCGTTTAATTCAAGATATTCGTGCCGGCACATTACCTCCAAATTTTTGGTCATACAAGCCCGCTCGACCTTGGTATCGGTGGTTGGAACACGTGGTGGCAAACAACCAGAATTTCTCAGTCCATCATGTGAAGGCTCATACTCAGGAGCTTGATGTCGCTTCGAGGTTGAACAATGCTGCTGATCGCTTGGCAGCTCAAGCTCATTTTGACCCGTTGCAGTTGCTCCTCTACCTTCGTTTTTGATGGATGACTTTGTGGTGTGGCATCCACATCGCGGCTATGTTGATTCAAACCTGCTCTCCTATTTCACATCTCGGTTTGTGTCAATGTCTCACCATGCTTTATCTGTGACACCCGAGTTTTGCCTGCCCAATCCCAACTTCCCATCATGCGCATCATTCCCATATGTGAGATCCAATGCTGGCTACTCTGCTGCCGTCCAGTTGTACCTTCGATCTGGTCAGTTACACTCTAATTCTTTGATGTTTTTCAGGGGACTGAGTCGAAGTGGGCGGTGTCGGAATGGTTGCAATCTCCGCATCATTTGTTCTGTGTTTGCCCTATTTTCAAGGCTTATCGAGTGTCCACTTTGGTTGACATCACGCGTTTGTCACAAGAGGTTTTGGAGGACATCTCTTAATTTGTTCGTTGTAGGGTGTGTCACGCAATTCCTTCACTCCTATCTGATGACTCCGCTTTATCCTGGCCGCATGGAAGGAATAGTTGGTTTTTGGGCCATACACCGTTATTAAAGCAGGATTTCCCTTCACTTCCAGATAGGGCGGCGGTTGCCTTGTCTCATATCTGGCACGCTGCATTTATTCATTTGGCAGGTCGTATTTGGGGTCATGTTCAGAGGTCAGCTGGTGGTGTTCATCGGCGAGTTTGATCATCGAGTGATTTCTTGGTGTTTTGGTTAGCTGGGCGTTTAGGGGGTCATGTTCAGAGATTTGATCGGTCAACGAGGTCCAGTTATGACCTTAGCTGTATTGTAGCGGAGTTGTCCGAATTTATTGTTATATTGTTATATAGAGTTGGCCGATCTATTTGTCTATTAGGGTTAGTTCCTTTCCACTAAGCTATTCGGTTTGCTGTCCTCCACGAAACTATATACCGTCTTACCACTTTTAGTGAGACTATGCTGAGTTGGATAGCTCACCAAGCGCAAAGCGCAAGCCACCAAGTTACCACGGCCTTCCACGACATCCACGACATTGACCTGAGAATCCGTGCCCTTACCACCATCCTGTCAATTCTTGATCCTCAAGCTAGCTCTGCTACCAAAGGCCCCTCGTCAATCGAGTTCAAAGTTGCGATGCATATTGCCACGCTCCTCACCCGTGGTGCGGATGAGAGGAGAGGCATAGTGGGGCCGAACATTGGACCGATTGCAGTCGCCGCGCGAACGACGGTGGATTCCGTAAATATCCTTGCGACGATTGATAGAGACGATAACGAATATTCAGATACCCCTAAGAGTGGGCTCTCAAACGATTTTGTTGTCACCCAGAATCCTACATCAGATGACCGTGTTGCATTTGGTGTCACTGTGACTGAGATTGAATCTAAAGATCTGGACGACGTGCAACACGACGAACTCTTGAACAGGTGATCGACTCCCCATTCTATGCGTCGCCCTGATTCATGATTACCATTGCATTTAGCGACCGCCCCCCAGAGGATATCACTCTGAGTCAGCATGCAGCAGACGTCATGTCTTTATTCAATAATATCCGCACCGCACGGCGAAGTAGATCCGAACAAGCCATTGCCGTTCGACGTATCACTGAATTTATCGTTCGGCGATGCGCACCGATCATCTCCCATCGACTCCGATCTGACATGTTCATCTTTCAAGACACGACATTAGATAAGATTCTCCAAGGATGGAAACCTAGCGACGGGGACCATTTTGTGAAGACTGAGTGTGAAATACCAGAACGTCTTATTCGCTTATTCCAGACGGTGGGCATCCAATGTCGACAGTCCAACAGGAAATATTTCGCACCATGGACGAAGGACATAGCTCCAGCTTGGATGAAAGCATTTCTATCGTGCCTATCATTGTGCAAGGATTGTTTCAAGCTAGAAGACAAGAAAGTGGCAGGCAACACCACCATGGGCGCGACTGTTCTAAAATTGCTCCAAACATTGATTGAATCAGAGGGGTTCAAATATCTGCTTCGACTGAGGTCTGTCAACGCTATCCTGGTGTTAAACCGTCGGCAAGGTATAATATTTTTAACGTCTCCGTTGTCTCCACGATCTAAAAGCACAACCTCTTCATCAGCTCCAGCTCGCTCCGATGCTGGAAACACAGAAGACTCCGCTCGCTCCAATACTGAAAATCCAGAAGACTCCGATGACACACATGGCGACAATTTGGAGCTCATCGCTGAGACAGAAGAGGATCCGGTCGCTCTTACCATGCGATACCTTGGTAACGCCGTCGCGTGGATCAATGCAACAGATTTTTTATTTTCCAGTTCACGTATTCGACGTACCCCGAGGCTTCGTCTCCATCTCGCGATCACCGCTCCTCCTGTCGAGCCGAAAGCAATGGAAGATGCAGTACCAATCTTCACGGATATATTCAACAAAACCCTTAAAAATTGGGAGGATCAATCCAGAGGCCGCAACTCGGGGGTGCGTTCATGGTACTGGCAATCTGTTGGGAGGCTTCGAAAGTCCAGGGAGTTTCATGGTACAGTCCACTGCGAGGCATCGCTGATGGGTGCCATTGTACACTACAATGGCCAAGCTAATAACACGCATAATACCCAACTTCCGGAGATATTCCATGTAAGTTGTCAGTGTCCTACATCTTTGGTGGTGGCTGCCGCTAATCTTTCTTTTGAAGAGCACTTCCAACAAGCCAAGGACAATTGGAGTGGCTCAAAAATGTTGTTGGTGCTGCAACATGCTGGCCACCCTCCTGAACTCAGCAGATATCCAGTTCAGCCTCCCAGGCTCGCATGGTCGAATATTCCCGTGGGCCCTTCCCAGTATGGGAATATCTTATGAAGTTGCTTGCTCCCTTGAGGATAAGCTTCAAAAACAACTGTCACTGGCAATTTGGAAGATGCTGGATGAATTAAGATGTATATCTGAAAGCCAGACAAACAGCCCTGCATCAGATGGCAGTAGTGGTAAACTTGAGCTTGAGGGTGATTATTGGGATGAAGCGATGAATATGTATGAACATAAGCTTCATTCATGTAAGCTTCGTTCACATTGAAGAAACAGGATTCTTTTTCCTGTTTCTTTGAGTTTAGCATTTGAAGCAGCTATGTAGTTTATTCCTGTATTGTCAGGTTAGTTGAGTATAGACCATATGCTTCATTCAGGTTGGAGAAACAGGATTCTTTTTTGAGTGATTTCTTTAGCATTTGAAGCAGCTACTGTTCTATAACAACCATAGGTTCAGTTGCATATTGCACAAAAATTTTGAACTGAACTATAAAACAGTAATGTCACATGTCACAATGGGATTTTGAACTAACAAAGCAGGATCTGTGACCCACCCTTTTCAAATTGTAAATACATCTTTGCAATCAAGAAATTACTCTGCATCTGTGTGTCATGGCCCTGCAAAAGGTGCCCACATAACTACAGTATGTTGGAAATGCACGTGCTTTTCTCATGCATCAGGGAGATTCTCAGAAATCTGAGTGACCAAAATCTGCATTCACACCCATAGAGAAATTGTGCCAATTTTGAAGCAAGTTGAAGTAGCGGAAAGGTACATTCCACTGCTCTGAAGCTGAGATGGATGTGGGCCCTAACTCTGCAAGGTGCAAATATGGATCATGTGTCAGGCTTCACTGATGTGCACTTGCCCAACTTGACTTTGACATCTAGGTCTCTTGCTCCTTTGGCTAGGCTTACATTGGGCTCAAGACTCAACCCTCCCATATCCCCTTCCTAGTCTCCCAAATGCCAAGGGATAGAGCTGCTTGGAAGTATTCCAAAAAAAAGGTTTCTTTTCCCAAAACCCAACAGATCAACAAAGCTCAGAGGACTAGTTTGGCTAAATGACAAACAGATCATGTATTAAGTGAGAATGCATTGACAGGACTATCAACTCGAAGTTGCCCAACCTTTGGACCTATTCCATGATTGTCTGGCCACTATCTCTGTCACCGCTTGTTAGCATGCAGTCTCATGGGGCTAGATGTAAGGGGTTGGTGTAGGTTCCAACCCCAGTTAGCCTCAGTCCTCAGTTCATTGAATATTAAGCTGTATAGAGCTATGATTATTCAACAATGGGGAGGAAAAAAGCTTAGTTGCCTTTTCCCAAATTCCCACATTATTGTAATTACATTGTTTGTACATGTTTAATGTGAGACAAATGAACAATAAGATAAGAAAGTAAAGGGTGGGGTTGCCACTCCTTACACTAGACTAGCTGGGAAACAGTTGAGGGAACCAGCAGAGCAAAATGTGAGCAAAAATGTGCCCCAGTTCAAAGGCACGAAATTCTTGAATCCATCACTCCCACTGCTGAGCTGCTATCACCATCCAATCCAAATGAGCACCTACACAGACAAAGTATATTTACCTTTCCAATTTTTTGGGGGGGGGACAATTAATTGCTTGCAGAAAGACAAAAGAAACCTGACAAAGGCTGCTCATTGGATGGAGATTGTGTTTAGATCATGCATGGCTCAAAAATTCATTTATGTATTCATTTTCACATGTAGATAACCACCGATTGATATTGTATTATTGTTCCCTGAGTTTTAACATAGCTTGCAACCTAAAGATGAGGTCTTGGGAGAGGGGGGATGGTGCGGCCATGATCGAGCCATGTTTCACTTATGTAAGCATCACAAGGTCACAGCCTTGTTGCCGACCCCCATTAAACAGGCCTCTTGAGCATGGTACAAGAAAGCCAAAGTCGAACTGAACAAACTTGGCTTCTCCCACTCAAATTCAGATCACACTGTTTTCATTCTTTCCCAATGTGCTCATTTTTGCATTGTCGCTCTTTATGTTGATGACTTAATGATCCTTTCCAACCACCTTCCCCTTCTTAGAAAGAAGAAAAAGCAGCTAATGTCCACATTTAAGATGAAGGACTTGGGGGAAATTCATTGGTTCCTTGGACTGGAAATCATGTGCAAGCGCCAAAGGTGCTTAATTTTTGTCTCTCAATCTCGCTACATATCCAAGGTTGTCAATCACTTTGGATTTAGCACCTCTCGTACAGTCTTGACTCCTATGATGCCGAATCTCAAACTCACTCGCCACGAAGGCTCTGACCCTGACATCAACACTTGTGAATACCAATCCCAAATTGGTTCAGTAATGTACACGATGCTAGGAACTCGACCAGACATCAGCTTCACCATCACCATACTCAGCCAATATTCTTCCAATCCAGGAGAAGGGCATTGGGCCGCTATCAATCATCTACTATGCTATCTCAATGCTATGAAACATTTCAAACTGGTCTACAACAGTAATTCGAAGTCTAACGACAAGACTGGCTATTCCGATTTGGATTGGGCTGGAGATCCAAGGGATTCTTGATCTATTTCTGGATTCATTTTTACCATGGCTGGAGCAGCGGTAAGCTGGAGTTCAAAGAAACAGACATTGGTGGCACTCTTGAGTACCGAAGGCAAGTATATGGCTGTTACCCATGCAACTAAAGAAGTGCTCTGGATTCAACAGTTTCTATGCAACCTTAACTTCCCTCCTTCCAACCCAACCACCCTCCTTGTCGACAATCAAAGCGCCATCACACTTGCCACCAATCCCGCATTTCACACATGAACAAAACATATTGGTGTCCAACATCACTTTATTTGCGATCAAGTAGAAGATCACACAATTTCTTTACAATACATCCCTACTGATGATCAAGTAGCTGACATATTGATGAAGGTTCTCGCATATGCCAAACATTCGAAGTTCAGAACAGCAATGGGACTGTGTGAGTAGCCACATTGAGTGGGTGTGTTAACATCTTGGTTTTCTTGTGCACTGCAAGCAGGCTAGAGATCTAACCCCCTAAATGCAAGCAAATTCATGGGGAGGGAGTCTGGGATGTCCTAAGCTCGTCCTAGGTTTGGTCCGGGTGCTAACAAAACAAAAATAATCACAAAAACTCGTTAAGAATTACATACCTGTCAGGGCACAGCCCTTGACCCCACTCACCCTCAGACACCCTCACCCTTCTCCTAACCACCCTCTCTCCACATTTCCCCATTCCCCTTATCCTTCCCCCCACTGTTTCACATAATGATGCGCGCACACGAACCTGTGGGAACGTTCTGGGCGAGCGACTCGCCCAGAAATGTACAGCCACAACCGTGGGAACATTCTGGGTGAGCAGCTCGCCCAGAACTTTCCCACGGGTCACACCCGTTATGGAAAGTCGGCAGCAAGCGGGAACTGTATAGTTCCTAGGGTCCTTTTGTGTCAGCCTCACAGGGGGCTGAGAAGCTTACCCTTCTTCTCAGCTCATTCCCTGTGAAGGCTGAGGCCAGTCCCCTCAGCGACTTTGAGGAGTTAGCACCTGGGGAGAGTACCCCAGCTTCCACACCCGGCCTCGCCCTCCGGCCACTCCCAGCTGGGGTCCGGATCCTGACAATACCCCTGGTCTGTCTTGGACAATCATCAGGGATTCCTTATAATACTCAAGGAGTCAAGCTTAGAATTTCTCTTTTTCTTGGATCTCTCAGCACTACAGTCTCTTTTGTAGTCAAAAGGGAGGTCACTTTTCCATTCCTACATGTACAAAGCTTTTAAACACATGGAATGGCAATAATGTGGAAAAACAAATGAAAGGAAAAATATAAAATGAAATATTGTTGTTATGGACACCATGTGGACCATTAAGTACGGCTGATAAGTCCAATGGCCGATGTGGAAGTTCAATAAAAAAAGACAGGAGTGATAAGCGGGCCATATCCGCTAATAATTGCTGTTCTCCACCAATTTCCACCATCACACTACACTCATCCATCTCTTCCTACCCACAGCATCCTTTCCTGACCTCTCCATTTGATTCCCTGGGTTCGTAGCTTTCTCCCGATACTAAATTTGTCCCAAATGGTTGAGATTTGACTGAGTGGTGGTGTAAGGGATTAACCTTACTTCACTATAATTCTGATTATAGTGATATTTATATTATGTTGCATCGCTATAATTCCCATTATAGTGATGTGGTTATTTCTTTATTTATTTGTGCCGAGATATGTAATTTACAGTGCCCCAAAAAACCGTTGCAATGTTTTGCACTTTTGACTTCAAGAGCTTATTAAACAATGGGAAAGGGTTCTAAAATTTCAAATAAATATGTTAAACATGTGTTAGTATCCTGTTCATAACTCCACCAATTACGTAAGCAATATGTTCATTTTTGGTTAAGTTATCCAATTCACAAGGGACCCATGTCATTGCAACGGTTTTTTGGTGTGCTGCCAGAATGGACTAAAACTGGAAATATCATGTGATAGGTCATGTGATATTGTTTACTATACAGTTGTGGACACGCAAAGACTGGAAATTTAACTCAACCCGAAATTCTCATGGAAAATACCTGAATTTGTCATCAAATCATCATAATTTAGTCATTATCCATACCCAGAAGCCCGAAAACAAGCATTTGGTTTTTTGTCAGACTCGAAAAATTTGCGGGGTGCTAAAAAATAAGCGCCCAGGTGCAATCTGGGGCTCATTTTGTAGCTTTGATGGTCTACATGATGATTATGGAAAATTGGAAGCAGGAGTAATGTCAGGGCACACCCGCCTGACCTGGGTCCACCTGGACCCACCTGGCCACACCACACCTGCTCCCCGCTGTCTATCCCCCTCCCCCCTCCTTCCTCCCTCTCCTCCCCTTTCTTTTCCCTCTTCCTTCCCCTTTCTTTATTTCATTCTTCTCATCTTCCTCTTCCTGTTTATTTCTTTCTATCTACACGGACCACCTTCCTTTGTATCGATGTACTATTGACCCATCCGGCCCACACACCCCGGATGGCTTCCCGCTGTGCCCAGCATGCGCGCATGCAGCAGACGCTCTCGGGATCCCCCACGGGGACACCCGGATGCCTGCGGCTGCCTCCGAGGATGACGTGGCACCCATCATGTGACTCAAGCCGCATGTACATAAATGTACCTGAAGTGGGAACCGAAGAAGTAACCTTCTTCTCACATTCTCCACTTCAGCCTGAGTGGCCAGGGACCACTGTCCCGGATCGGGCCCGCCAGTACACATGCCCACTCCACACCCCGCGATGGCCTCAGTGCCGGACATTACCCCCAGGCCCTCTCGACCCCGGACGCGTCCCTGACAAGTAATTGAACTGACGCGTCAAAATCAATTTTAGTGAAACAACCTGAATTGGTTCCGACCCGACTGCAAGCGCCTGCACATGCCACCAATAGCAGGCAGCATAACCTCAATCTTCGAACAACCTATGGAGGGCATTGAATATATTTCAGACTCAAGTGAAGATAATGATGACTGGAGCCCCTACCTTCGCCGAAGCAATGCATGCCTGGGTGTTCCTTTCCTGGCCTCTGATGATGAAGACACCTGTTAGGTATGGGTCAGCAAACGGGGACGACTGGCGGGGACAAGGCTCCGGGGTTGGGCTTCGGCCTCAGTGACTCCAAGAGAGCGCTGTGCCCACCTACTGTCTCATTGCCCACATTTCGAAGTGGCTTGGGGCTGCCTTGTTAGGGGGACAAACCATGTCGATATTCAGACTAAAGTTATAATAATGTAATATACATATATATATAGTAAGAAACTGAATGGGTCAGGTGACAAAATGAAACAAAAGGAAACAGAATAAGGGCCGGCATCTGGGTCAGAATGCATGGTCGTGACAACACCGAAGAATATGCTGCCGACTCTGGGGGAAATGCCATGCTGGAAAATTTCTCAAGGAGAATCAGCGCTGCACAGACTCTTGTTGAAGAGCTGACATACCATCCAAAGAAGGGAAAGTATACAAATAACACAACGGTGAATAAGAAGATGGATGCGGAGCTGAAAAAAAGGGGGGGAGGTGAGTAAAAGATAAACATAAGTTTAATCCAAGATCCCAACACGGACTTACTATGGTAAATTGATTGTAAATTCAGAATGGTGTGGCAAAAGGGGCAAATATGCAACAGGCCCTGTAATTGCCACCAAAGCTGAACGGACAAGGCAATATTACGCAGCAAAGGCATGCAAGGAAGGGATGAACCAAACCCCACTCACCAAATTTTTCCGCTCTGTCCCCTCCTCATTTTCCAAACAATCCCATTTGACCAACCCCATGCATTTACGTTCAGATGTGATTCCTCCAACTCCCAGCCTTACTTCATCTGTAGTTTCCCCAATCGAAATAAACAATGACAATCAGTTGTCTGTTGACCAAGGATCCGGGCTGAAGAAGCGTAAATGGGCTGCTCACATAATGGGCCTTCCAGTTGCATCGCTTGAGAATCTCCAATTGGAAAGTGAGAAAAGGCGCTGGACTGCTCAGATTAGCCAATCTGACAATCTGGAAGAGCATGATATGGGATTGGATGGAGAAGAGAATGACAATGACGGTGTGGGGGATGAGGAGATTGAAGAACTGATGGGCGATGTTCCACCTGCTGTCCCAGAACCTGGCCAAAAGTCATGGGAAGAGCTCCAAAACAAAATCTATGGGATTCTTAAGGCACAAAGGAAGAAAAAAACTGTCAGTCTCGCACTAACAGAGGTATGTAAAGTTTGATACTCAAATATTGTTCGACACATTGCTGACATCACACACCACAGCTTACACAATATCAACTCCTATGGAGCTGGTTTACACTCCGAATGAAGGGGTACAAGAGGCTACCTGCAAGCATTCATATAGCGATTGACCGCCATGATGGAAATGGAAGGTATTTTGCTGCACGGATCCGGGCATTGGCACGCTTCTATGAAAAGCATGAGTCACTGCCACTGGAACGGAGAGGAGGGAGAAGGAAAGGTTCATGTCACCTTGATGATCCAGATGTGCATAGAGCAGTCCATGCTTGGCTGGAAATGCAATCAGTAAAGGATCTAACGGTGGAATCCTTCCGCCGAGCTCTCAACACCATTATTCTACCCGAACTTGGGAATTGATGGGAAGATGGATGCCAAGCTCTACTTCCAAATCCTGGAAGAGAACTTCCAGCAAACCCTCTCATATTATGACAAAAACCCAGCCCACATCCTTTCCCAACAGGACAACAACCCAAAACACACCAGCAAAAGGGCCCAGAACTGGTTCAAGAACCATGGTATCAGGGTCATGGAGTGGCCCTTCCAGTCCCCAGACCTTAATCCAATCAAACATTTATGGAACCATGTAAAGAGGTAGCTTGGGGAGTATGAAGAACCTCCAAGTAGTGTTCATGAGCTGTGGGATCGGTTTCAGGAGGAGTGGGAGAGGATAGAACCAAGTGTCTGCTAGAATTTAATCGAGAGTATGCCTAGGAGGATTGAGGCAGTACTTAGGGAAAAAGGTGGCTATACTAAATACTAGTTAATGTGATTTTCCTTTCTCCAAAATGCACACCAAAAAACTGTTGCAATGACATGGGTCGTTTGTAAAGTAAATAACTTTACCAAAAAGGGACATATTTATTAGAGAATTGGTGGAATTATTAATAAGCTACTAGCGCATTATTTTCATATTTTTATGCAATTTTAGGATCCCTTCCCAGGGTGCAATAAGCTCATAAAGTGAAAAGTGCAAAACATTGCAACAGTTTTTTGGGGCACTGTACATATATATACCTCGGAGTAGTTGTAAAGGCCCGGTAGCCTTTTACCTCTACCCTGTTGAATATACAGCTCATCAAAGCTTATGTTTAGACAGACTAGCTGAGGCCTGAGGCTAACAGGGGAACGGAACATTACTGTCCCCAAATTAGTAAGCAACCTTTCAGGTGGGCATGAGAATCGTAAAATTGGCCTGTGCACAGGGTTAGACATCCCAGAAAGTGTTTGTGAGAGTCCCCGTGTCAATTGGATCTTCATACACATCCTTTGTGATTTTTCTGAATTTTTCTGAGCACTCTGGAGTGCATTTTGGTTGTTTGTTTACTTCGGTACAGCTTGTGATTTCCATTTTGGGCTGAAAACCAGTTTCGCGATCTCCTGAAGTATGGATCTCAGCTCCGCTGCACAGGACTTTCGACACTGCCACCCTCACATGCCTTTCGACATTGTGTGGAACCTTGCAGTAAGATGAGAAATCGCCACCACCATTGTTAATGGCTTGGTCGATCTGGATGAAATTTGGGGAATCCATAGTTATGATCTTTCTCTATTTTTTGAGCCCTTGATCGTCTTTTGGTGGCCAGTAGCACCAAGCATAGTTTTTGGGCTGGACCAATTCAGTACCAGCACGTTGTAGGTGGGATAATCGCCCACACGCAGAGCCGGCTCGGATACCCGCTTCCAACATTCAGAAACGACTTTCATTCACGCGACGACTCGGTACAAATTTGGTATCAAAAAATAGTCCTAATTCGTACGATTCTGACGATATCAAGAACGTCCCAATCGGTGGAGATTTGACGGAGTTCCGTGTTGGAGAAGTTAGGCACAGCAGGTCACGGGCATGTGCGGGCATGGGAATCTCAAGCGGCAACCCAGAATTCCAGCCTCACTCGTTCCCACGGCGTCTAATAAATTGGTAAAAATGCTCATTGGCTACATAGTAGTTCTATTCAGTCACATTTCCAATTTCGGCTCATAATTCCGTAAATCCGTTGAGATATCGCTTATTTTCTTTTATTTTCATATTTTGCCATCATTTCAGATATTGATTGATATTCTTTTATTGTTACTGTTACCCTTTTTTTTATTATTTCGCCTAATAAGGTATGCAGGTCATATGGCACCAATATTTGCCATCTATTCTTTCTAAAAATAATTATTAGATATAATCCTGTACATACCGGATTTTGAATAGAAGTTCTCCCCTCCCCCATTTTCTCTAAGGTGCTAGGACGCGCTAGAGAGGGTGTGAGTGAGTGGAATTCCAACAGTAGGAATAAGGGCAGTGATCTAGCTCACAACGAGTGAGTAGTGGACACTGAGCCCGGACCTTGCGGAAATCCCGGAGAACCCACACAGAGTTTAAGGATCGAGAGTGTAGCGAAGTCTAGTCAAGAAGTAGGAGTTTTGGAGAGTTAGGCCCCACGAGCTTGGTCGGCATAGAGAGCCGCGAGCCCTCTTTCAACGTTATGTGCACTTGTACTCCATAATAAATGTTCTTATGCACCATTGGCATTGGTAGGTGATCATTGCATATGGGAAATCCTTAAGGAATGTAAAACCACGAAAATACTGGCAGTGTAGGGTATAGTAGGTTATCCCACCTACAGCACTGTGGCCAACTCACAATGTGATGTTGAGCTAGCAGCACTTTATTTCCTTTCTTGGTATTCCTGCTACCAAAGTCAGTGCACCATTGGGGTGACTGCTTATAAAAGCAGTGAACAATTTTTCACTTTCATCTCCCTCAGTTCAACAATGATTGACTGAGGTGAGACTATGCTTTTACCACATGTTTGTGTTGTCACTCATGTATCTTCATGTGCCCTAGCGTAAAACGCTAGGTAATTGGTTCTAATCTATAAGTTCAACAACGATTGACTGAGCATAAATCACTAACATCCTAATAACTCAAGTATGAGATCACCAAGATCATTGACTCTAAAATTGATCGCTGGCAAAGCTGAAAGCTATTGTATCTCGTACATTGGGATGGTTACAAAGGGACAGCTGAAGAATCAGAATGGCTCCCCACAACCGAACTTGGTCATGCTTCAGACCTTGTTGCAGACTTTCATTCATGATTGTTATGGAAATGGGATTTTCCCATTTTTAGCCTCTTATGGGCTCTGTACAGTACAAAGTCACGTGGCATGTAAATAATAACAAAAAAACCAACTATTATCACCCAAAACACCCGATGTCCATGTTATTGTAAACCCCACTGTTACAACATCTGTTACATTAATTGTAACATCTTCTCAATGTCACGGCCCCCTCCTGCACCCGGACGCTATAGAAATGGGCCAATTAGGCCCCATTTTTATAACAATGATACCTGGATAAGCTGGGACCAACATGCACTGTCAGGGCACACCCGCCTGACCCCACTCCACCCGGTCCGACCCCACCCAATCCCACTTTCCTCACCTGCTGCCCCCATCCTCCCTCCTCCTCCTCTCTTCTTTCCTTTTCTACTACATGGACGACTTCCTTGCTCGATGTACCATTAACCAGGCTGCGCAATACGCCCGGGCCCGGACACACCGGGTGACACCCTACACACCGGACGCTCCTGAGACCTCTTATGGAGACACCCAGGTGGACACGGCTGTACGTGTAGATGACGTGGTGCTCCCCACGTGACCTCCAACTGCATGTACATAAACACAGCCTAAGTGGGAACTGAGAAGTAACCTTCTTCTCACACTTCCCACTTTAGGCAAGTAGCTTACATCTCCCTGCTAATAATAATAACACACTTCCCACTTTAGTCTAAGTGGCCAGGGATCCTTGCCTGCTTTGGGCCCGTTGTTATGCACACCCGCGCTGCACCCTACTGGGCCCTCAGCCCCAGGCAACATACCCGGACGCTCTCGACCCTGGGTCGGTCCCTGACATGCACCTAAGACACAGGATGGAATGGATGAATTGTGTTTAAGGATCATGTAAGAACAAAGTGGAGTAGGAGTCAGAAGTGGACGTCACAGGCTGCTCAACTCTCGACCCCATCACACTCACCTCCCTCTCCCCTGCTTCCCTCACCCCACACCTTGCCCTCGCCTCCATCAGTCTCCTCTCCTCAGTGTCACAGACGTGTTCCAACAGTCGCCCCACCACAGTGGTTAGACCAGAGATCGCTTGATGGATGTCGCAAAGTACATCATAGATCCTGTCCTTGTCATTGACCACCTTGTCCTCCTCCAATTCCACATCGTCCACATCCATCATTGACCCCTCTCCTTTTGGCACCTTGATATGAGGTCACTTTGTAGCTTGAGGTGTCCCCACTCTGCATATGCACTTCTGCCTGGACTTCTGACACACAGTGCAGATGCTGTAAGCAGGCTAGGGATCTAACCCAGCAAGCAAACAGGAAAGGATGGGGACCTGTAAGGAGTGGTAACCCCACCCCTTAATTCCTATCTTCATTCTATATGTGTCTCATAATAAACATGTATAAACAATGTATATACAATAGCGTGGGAATTTGGGAAAAGGAAGAGAACTCCTTTTCCTCCCCATCATTGATAATTAAAGCTCCATACAGCTCAACTTTATTGACGACCTGAGGATTGAGGAGAACTGGGGTTGGAACCTACACCAACCCCTTACACTTTTTTGAGCGCAATAGGCTTTATTCTCACACCCACGCATGCATATTTGCGCGCACGGGTTATTCAACACCACCCACAACTTGCCTTCTAGACATGGAGCCTAGAAGGGTAACAAGTTTTCCCCCAGCTCTGCAAAGAGCTGACTCTATGCATGAAAGTGCATATGGTTCCATGACCAAATCCAATGCTGGTGATGCCAGCATTGGCCAACCCAATCTGTACCAGATTGGTGTTTCCAATGTACCTGTTGAAGTCACGAGTTACCGGAACCTTCTGGGGCATTCTGGATTATTGTGGGAAATTGTTAGACACTGGTCTGGGGTCGGCACCGAAGGTTGCCATTGTGGGCCGCTATAGGCCGTGATGGCCATGATGCCGTGAACAAGGCCCAAGGGTAGGGCATTTGGCCTCAGCAACTCTAAAGGGAGTGCTGTGCCCCTAGCTGTCTCTTGGCCCTCATTTCAGACTCACTGGGGTTGCCTTGTTGGGGTCAGGACTTAGGGGTCATGGTCACATCGATATTAGAGCTAAGGTACTATAATGTAGTATACAGGATATATATATGAAGATAGAATGAATAGAAGCGGACCCGGGCCAAAGGCCGAAGGGTCCAGAAGCAAATAGGACCAAAGAGTGGGGTTGGCTGCACAGCAGCCGGCAATGACCGAGGGTCAAAACAAACAATAACAGATAAATAAATGAAGGGGTGTAGGGCCGCGATAGCAGCGATGGTATTGT